TACATACATACAGACATACATACTCAAGTACATACGTACATACCTATATACACATGCACCTGTAATGCAATACATTTCAGGTTAATGCGATGCATGATGCGGAAGCACTCCAGATACAAGCCTTGCGGGAACACGAACACCGGGCCCAGAGTGGAGACATTGGGTTTAGACTTTCCAGTTTCGGCGGCAGCTCGGACAAGCCAGGTGAGGAGAGTTTACGTTTTAGTGCTTTGCGGGTGCACTCAAGCCCTCACGCCAGGAGCTGCAGCTGTGCCGACAATGGCACCCCCTACCAGGGCTGCTTCGGCAGCAACCACGGCGGCATGGTGGCCCTTGCCCTTGCCCCAGCCCATTGCCGCAGGATGCAGGCAGGACCAGGTTCTACGCAGCTTAAGATTAGAAGTTTACTCGGAAGTAGTACTCGTATCACCGTTTCAGCATCTTTATAGTGGGAGAATGGTGAAACCGCTCGTCTTGTGTATGGAGGATAGTCGCTGCAGGAACGGCTCGCACCTCGGGCTTATCGACTCTAAGTGTGGGTTTTCAGCCTCCCGTCTATGGACGCCTTGTCTCATCTTCGAGTTCTAAAGTTTCAGCAGATCAGATCAACTTTGGGATTTAGGCCTTGTCGGTAGAATGTCAAAGCTTGAGGCGATTGATGAAGCGAAAGCTTCAGCGACTACCTAGGTTTTGGTCTGCCTAGGCTTTGTTCACCCTCGCATGGCTTTGAGGCTTTAATTTAATATTAATGAAGAGAAGCCTTGCCAGCCCTCCTAAAGACTGAGATCTGCTAGTCCAGTATCAGTAGAAGACTTAACACAAAGCGGTACACTACGGTTGGATGCTCACGGAAGCACATTCTCTCAACCCCTACAGCCTACAGCCGAAATCCTAAAACTTGACAGCGTGAAATTTCTATGCGAACACCTAACGAAACGTTTCACAACTAAATAACTGAACCCAACCAATCTTCAACTGCAACGCTCCCAGCATGCGCTTGATAGTAAGTGCACTCTTGTTCATACTGCTCAGCTTTAGACATAAAGAAACCTGGACATGAAATCTGTAACACCCTTCTACACCTACCCTAAATGCCTAACAAACCCCTAACTCTCCAGGTACCTACTATATAGGGCCCCCGAACCTCTAGTACCCTATAGAGTAGGTACCTGGGGGGTTGGGGAAAAGCCACAGCTGCAGACTCCCTAAACCCCTAATAGCCTAAGCCCTAAAACCCTAAACCCTAAAACCCTAAACCCGAAACCCTAAACCCTAAAACCCTAAAACCCTAAACCCTAAACCCCTTATGGGCCATAGCTAAACCGAAGCCTCAGATCCGCACCCACCGAGTCGGTAGCGGATGGTCGAAGCTTTATCAACGCCGATACCGACTCCTGAACGATATAAGTACCAGGCGTTTGAGAAAACTGTGTAATTGGGGTTATAGGGTTTAGCTTTCCCCGGTTTTCGGGTTTAGGGGTTTAGGGTGTATAGGGTATCGGGCCGAAGCTTGGTTCACAGATGCTCTCTGAAACCGAGTGAGGGGGTCATCCTAAACCCGGAGTTTTGCAAACAAACCCCCGAAACTGCAGGCCCCTTGAAAGTGAACAACAAAACCCTCAATTTCTGGAGCTACGATTTCGGGTTTCGGGTTGAGGTAGGACGAACTCGTGTGTTCCTCAAAGGTGGGGCATAGAAGCAGCACAGATATCGGTGGCATGCTAGGAAAAGTTTTGTGTTCACATGGTTGTAACCTAGGACCCTAGGGGTGTATAACTTTATACGGGTCCTTACAATGCCTTACAATAAGGCTCAGAATATGGCTCCACCCTGTCGGGGTCTAAATGAATTAAGGTTTCCTGTTTGCTGAAACTCTCATGTAGATGAGGGCCGAGGCCGGAATGAAACACCACCGGGATACTGGGCGAAAGCCCGTAAGTGTCAAGCCCATAAACCTAAACACCTGCACCTAACAAGCCTTCGAGCAAGGGATGACCACCGTCCGAATGTCCTCATCGCCATCTGCGAGAGGCGATGCGTACCCTGGCAGATCCGTTCGTACCTGCTCTTCCCCATTGCTCGGTAATCGGGCGTAGGAATGTAGTGTTGCGGCTTAGTACCTGGGCCCTTAGGGAAAGTCTTGGAAGTTCTCGTCAGATTGCGGTACCCCAAAGCAGATAAGATTTTACACACCGGCCGCAGATACTCTCCGGCCTCATCATCGTCGTCATCCAGTGGGCCTGGAACGTAAGTGAGACACACAGAACTTCAGCTCACAGTGCCTGGGCGGCAATGATGCCTTCAATTTAGTGGGATGATGCCTCCAGAAGTTGAGCTTTGCCAGATTGCAGAATGTGACTGTCGAGACCGAAGCATGACTGCGTACAGCTGTGCTAGCTAACAATAGAGGCTGACCGAGTCCCTATACAACCCTTAACACGAAGACCTTGCACCCCAAACACTGAAGCCCTCTAGCACCCAGCCGAAGCGAGACTTAAGGAAGAATGCAGCTGCAAACAGAACCGCTGTCCAGTGAATGAGTGCTGGCTAGGATAGTCATACTGGTGGTGGTGGTGGTGGTGGTGGTGGCGGTGGCGGCGGCGGTGGTGTTTGGGAGTGTTTGGGAGTGGCTGGTGGTAGTGGTGCTATTAACAGTAGCAGCAGTGGCGGCAGTAGCAACATCTCGATTGCTCGTTGATCTCACATGGTCACCTCTTAGTCGGGTGTTCTAGTCTTGGTCACCGCGACGGTGGGTACAACGGTGTATCTTGCTTTCGGTGATCTTAAACTACGAAAAGTTCTCGCATCACCGAGAACGCCTCATCCACGCCCTGTACTGACTCCAAACATACCCAGACTCTGGAGGCATAAATTCCAAACCCTTCCAGCGAACCCCTCAACCTTCAACCCCTGCAAACCTACACCCAACTCTCCAAAACCTACCTAATCTCATACACTCTGGACCATGAGCTTCAAGCCGCTTTATACTAAACAAAGACTACAGCAATAATTCCAGTAATACAAAAGTAAAGGAGGAACTAATAACATTAACAACAGTAGTACTATTGTCCGCAATAATCATAAAAGTATAATGCATTGTAAGACTGAGAATAACAATAAATACGAACATAGTTGTAAGCATAACAGCAATCGTGGTGATGATAATGTTAAGAATGATAGTACGATTATCAATAAAGAAATAGGAAGAATCTTCATAATCATAGTATTCAAAAATGGCACGATTTAATATTCCTACTAGTCGAACAATCGTAAAAAATGCACTTTTTCAAGGCCTCCAAGCAGGCCCTGCTTCTCCTCGGGAGAGCAGGCATCCTCCTGAGGCTTGGCATTTAGGGGGCTTTCAGCTTTCACTAGGTAGGGTTTAGGGTGTACGGGTTTAGGGTACTAGGTAGGGTTTAGGGTTTGGGGTTTAGGGGTTTAGGGTTTAGGGTACTAGGTAGGGTTTAGGGTTTGGGGTTTAGGGTGTAGGGCTTCGGGTTTAAGGGTTTAGGGTTTCACTAGGTAGGGTTTAGGGTTTGGGGTTTTTGACGGCCTTGCCAGGGCCGGTCGGCGTGCGCTCGGGGTTTAGGGTTTGGGGGTTGCCCAGGGGTGAAGGGGGTTCATATAAGGGCTCTACAGGTATTTAGAAGCCTGAGGGCTCTAAGAAGACGGTCAGGGGTCAAGCGCTTTAGGGTTTCCGGTGTGGTTTCAGGGTTTCGGGTTTAAGGCCTTGGGCTTAGGGTTTTCAGAATGGGGTTTCAGGTTCAGCTTGCTTAGGATTCGACCTCAAGCTAAAGTGCTTTTCAGGGTCTGGGGGCCCTTTCGGGCTCACGGTGTTAGGGAAGAACCTCGGCAGTTTGAGACGAAGTCCTTGTCGTCACTGTCCGGCGCCTGGCAAGGAAAGAAATCCCAACACGACAGACACCTTGTCCTCCGGCTCTTCCTACATGAGGCTTGCAGGTCTGTTGTGCCTTCAATCGTAAACTTCAAACAGGAAACCCCACACCACCCCAACAGAAACACCCACTACCAAAAGGGGGGGTTAAGAGAGCCTTCCACGAAATGCGGTATCCAGACTCAGAAAGAGCAGACTTGTCGTCTTGGTACTTGACCCCCTTCACTGGGCTTCAGTTTAGGGATTGAGTGGTTCTGCGGTAGGCTTTAGAACTGAAGGATTTTACGGCTTAGGGCCTTAACACTCAGGTATTGGTCCGAGGGGTCCGGGTTTCGAACCTCAAGACTGCAGATTCCAGGTCGTGCCAGTCGCATACCAAGTTCAATGCTCCACAAGCGCAGCTTGTCTGATATTGCGAAGCCGCTATCCACAGCCGGCCAAGCAACACCCAAAACCCTAAACATGAAGATCCTGCAGCCCGAACCCCAAAATCCTTTTTGCCCTAACTAAAGGCCTTACTTGGGCCGTAGCCCCAAACTCTCAGACTCCCCAAATGCAAAACCCCAAAGCCGCAAGACGTGGAAGGTCGACCGGCCGCCTCCTGCGCAGTAGTTTCATTCACAAAAGGAAGGGGTTTAGGGTTCAAGGGCCTTGGAGCGTAAAGGCTTTTCTGTTTGGCGCGGAGTCCGTCGATGTAAGGCTTACGGCTTTAGGTAAACGGTTTAGGTGTGTGAATTAGAAACTTCGTCAACACAAACACCCGTACACGGCCCTAAGCCCTGCACCGGGATAGCCCCCCAAAGCCAGCCCGAAACCCCGAAACCCCAAACATCTTATGGAAACCTTGTATACTGGTAACTTCTAAGGGGCCCTGGTCAAGGAACCTTGGAACCTGTCAAAGGAACCTTTTAAAGGAACCGAACCTCAATCCCAAACAGCTCAAGGTCGGCGTGTGCCTCTGCCGCTCCCCTCGCAAAGCTGAGAGAAGAGCCCAAGCCCTGCAAAGTGAGATCTGGGATTTCCAGGCGGGAGGGTATGGGCCCTCAACCCGAAAGCCTAAATATAACCCTGTAGGATTTGGCCTTGGGTTTGCAGAGCCTAAGGTTTAGGGTTTAGGTTTTGAATAGGGTTTTGGCGGTTTTGGGGTTTCTGCGCAGCAGTGTTGTGTCATCTGCAACTGCCGAGAACTGCCAGTATGTCTGTTAAATTTTTTTGTTGATGATGACTACACGAATTGCATGCCCGTAAGCCTTCGTCAGTATTGGTTGCTCGACTGCCCAGCGCAACGACTCAGTGACAGCAGGGCCTCAAACTCACGAAACCTGTCTGGAACCTCTGAAACCTCTGAAGTTGATGTGCCCCCAGTTCTCGATTTAACAAGCTAATGGTTTGGGTGTTGTCATGCTTGTGGTTTATGTGCGACATCCCTACTGAACCCTCAAGCCCCAGCTCTTGCCA